TTTTATGAATGATCTACCTTTACTGTATGTTTGCTTTACCAGTGAAATTTTTTCCTTTCATAATTTTGTTACTTATAGTTTTGACTTTTTTTTTTCTGCTTAAAGAAGTCCATTTAACATTTCTTGTAAGGCTGGTTTAGTACTGATGAACTCCTTTAACTTTTGTTGGTCTGGGAAACTTTATATCTCCTTCAATTCTGAATGACAACTCTGGCAGATAGAGTATTCTTGGTTATAGGCTTTTTACTTTAGGAGTTTGAATATATCATACCAGTTATTTTTGGCCTGCAAAGTATCTGTGAAAAATCAGCTGATACCCTTATGGGATTTCCCTTGTATATAACTATTTTATTTTCTCTTGCTGCTTTAATGATTCTCTCTTTAATTTTTGGCATTTTAATTATGTGTCTTGGTGTGAACCTTCTTGGGTTCATCTTTTTTGGGGCGCTCTGTGTTCCCTAGGCTTGGATATCTGTTTCCTTCCCCAATTTAGGGAAGTTTTCAGCTATTATTTCTTCAAAAAGTCTTCTGCCCCTTTGTCTTTTTCTTCTGCCTATAATGTGAATGTTAGTATGTTGTCATAGAGATCTCTGACCTTTCCTCATTTTTTAAAAATTCTTTTTTCTGGGTGCCTGGGTGGCTCAGTTGGTTAAATGACTGCCTTTGGCTCAGGTCATGATCCTGGGGTCCTGGGTCGAGTCCCACATTGGACTCTCCCTGCTCTGAGGGGAGCCTGCTTCTCCCTCTCCCTCTGCCTGCCACTACCCCTGCTTGTGTGCTCTCTCTCTCTGTGTCAAATAAATAAAATCTTTTAAAAAAATAAAAATTCTTTTTTCTTTCTGTTCAGCTTGGGTGCTTTCCACTACCTTGTCTTCCAGTCATTGAACTGTTCTTCTGTATCTTCTAATCTGTTGTTGATTCCCTCAAGTGTATTTTTTATTGCACTTACTGTATTTTTCAGCTTTTTTTTTTTTTAAGATTTTATTTATTTATTTGAGAGAGAGCACAAGCCGGGAGAGGGAAGGGTCAGAGGGAGAGGGAAAAGCAGACTCCTCGCTGAGCAGGGAGCTGGAAGCGGGGCTCAATCCCAGGACCCCAAGATCATGACCTGAGCCGAAGGCAGACGCTTAACCGACTGAGCTACCCACGTGCCCCTATTTTTCAGCAATGATTGGTTCTTTTTATATTTTATCTTTGTGATGGTCTCACTGAGTTCATCCACTCTTCTCTCAAGTCCAGTGAACGTGTTTATGACCATTACTTTGAACTCTTCGTTAGGTAGGTTACTTATCTCCATTGTGCTTGTTTTTTTTCTTCAGGTTTTGTCTTGTTCTTTTGTTTGGAACAATCCTCTGTCCCCTCATTTTTTCTGATTTTCTGTGTTTGTTTCTATGTATTAGGTATGTCAGCTATGTCTTTTGGTCTTGAAGGTAGTGGTCTTATGTAGGTGTCCTGTGGGGCCCAGTAGCACAGTCCTCCCTGGTCACTAGAATCAAGTGTTCCAGTGGTGTTCTCTGTGTAGGCTGCATGTGCCCTTCACTTGTTGCCTGGGCATGTGTAGTACTGCCATTTTGGTCGGTGGGGCTGGTTCCTGCACAGCTGGCTGAGAGCCTCAGCCACAACTGGTACAGCCATGCTGGTGTGCAGGCCTGGCTCTTGTCCCTCTCTGGGGCAGGAATTGCTTTGGAGCAGGTGCTGGTTCTAGCCAAGACTGCTGACTGGGTGCAGCAGGATAGGTGCCTGCCAGGGTGGGATGGTTGGGTAGGGCAGGTCCACAGGTGAATGCTGGGATGGGGCGAGCATGGCTGACATGGCTAGCAAGGCAGATAGAAAGTATCAGAACTGTCCCCCATGGCCATCTGGCTACCTTGGCCAAAGGAAGGCAGGAAGAATGGTGCCTTACCAGCACTTCCTTTTCCAGAGAAAGTTCCTATAGATCTCTGCCTCTCTGACACATGCCCTAAAATTAATAAATGTCCTTCACGTATAATGCAGGTGCTTTTCAAACTGTTGGTTCTGCTGGTTCTCAGACCAAGTGATAATATAAAACATTGGATTTTTAAGAGCAGAGAATTGGTTTCCTGTAACCCTCCAGCTCTCATGGAGTTCAACTGCTGATTTTCAAAGCCAGACGTTATGAAGGCTTGTGTTTCCAGTGCAGTTCCCCAGGGCTGGGGGTGTCCAGTGTTAGGCTTCATCCCCTCCCTTTTCAGAGTTGACCTTTGTGCCTGTGATAGCCCTCCCACTTGTGGGATGCTGTGCAAGGGGTTTGAATCCTGACCTCATATCTGCTCCTCTCACCCTTCTCAATGTGGACTTCTCTTTATGTCGTTAGCTGTGGAGGAACTGTTTTCCCAGTCGTCAGTTTCAGAGTGAATTGTATTATGAGGTAATTGTTGCCTTGATGTGTCTGTGGGAGGTGGTGAGCTCAGGATCCTCCTAGTGTGCCATCTTCCTAAGATCTGGGTTTTTCTATTTTTGCAAAGAATGGTGTTCAGATTTTGACAGGGATTGCACTGAATCTGTAAATAGGTCACTTTGGGTAGTACTGACATCTTAAAACTTTTAAGTCTTCCAGTCTGGGAACACAAGATGTCTTTCCATTTTTTTGTCTTCTTTAATTTCCTTCAGCAATGTATTATACTTATGATAAATTTCTTTGTCTTAAGCTGTTACAAATAGTTGCCATTTGTTGCCATACCAAAAGCCAGTCCAAAGGGTTTCATAAGCAGTTTAACCTATAAACCACAGACTTACACATTTGTAGACTTTGATTCAGACTTTGTTTCTTGACCCAGGGTTTGGGTATCATTTCTTTCTTCATATTAGAGCTTCCTGGCTTCTTTCCAGGTCCACATAACTGGATAATTTTGGTTTCTCCTTTCAAAGAATAACGAAGGACCATAAGTCGTTAGTAAATGACGTACTTTGTTTCTGTATTAGAGCCACTGTTTTCCTTGACATCTTACTTTATTTAGACCTACTTAGTGTCATTTTCTCATAGCTGAGATGATCACATTTTTTTAAAGATTCATTTATTGATTTTAGAGAGAGAGAACACGAGTGGGGGGGGAGAGAGAGAGAATCTCAAGCAGACTCCCCACTGAGCACAGAGCCCAACACGGGGCTCCATCCCATAACCCCGAGATCATGACCTGAGCCGAAACCAAGAGTCAGACGCTTAACCAGCTGAGCCACTCAGGCACCCCTAGATGATCACATTTTGAAGACCATCTAATTTAGCTTTCAGTTCATCTTAATTATCCCATTATTTTCTACATTTTTGATTCTGTACTCATAGTTGCTCATCACATTTAACTTCCTGAGCTATAGGCCATGTTCAGCATCTCAGGCTGTTTGTTCATGTTCTCTGGTTATACTTTGACTTTTTTAACATTCTACTACCAGATTTTACAATCTTATATCTTCTCCTTTATGGAAAGAAACCAAAAGAAAGATCTTCCAATTACATGGTTTATATCTATACTCTGAAAAATAGTAACTATCTTTTTCCAATGAGAAGGGAATGGTTTTCTAGTGTCATAGAGAAATGTTGTTTAGTTAGGTATGTACTAGTACTTCAATGAAATGGTTCATGTGCTGTTCCCTGATAGATTGTTTTCATCAGAGAGTAGCTTTCTTCCAGAGACTGTTTATTCAGTCACAAGAAAGTAATATTTAAAATAAATAATCTACCAAAATTTAAGGTATTTAAATAGAGTTCAAGTAGCTTTATTACATTTATATTTTATTTTATTTTATTTTATTTATTTAATTTGAAGTGGGGAGAGGAGCAGAGGGAGAGGGAGAAGCAGGCTCTTCTGGGGTTTGATTCCAGGATCCTGGGATCATGACCTGGCCGAAAGCAGACACTTAACTGACTGAGCCACCCATGTGCCCCTGATTTAGAGGTTTTATCACTGTTGAGTATTAGCTCACCCAGAGAATAAAGGCTCTTATATAATAGAGTAATGCTGGGATTTTGTGGACTTAAAATATTGCTGTTAAAAATGTTCAAGTTTAGGGGCGCCTGGGTGGCTCAGTCGGTTAAGTGCCTGCCTTTGGCTCAGGTCATGATCCCAGGGTCCTGGGATCGCTGCTCAGCAGGGAGCCTACTTCTCTCTCTCCCTCCCCCACTCTGTGCTCTTTCTCTCACTCTCTTGCTCTCTCAAATAAAATCTTTAAAAATAAATAAAAAATAAAAATGTTTAAGTTTAGAAGAAACTGTTATAGCCAAATGGAATTAAGCTGTGAATCAGTTGGGTATCTTCACCCTCACCCTGCCAACCGAACCACCACTTCTGATTTCCAATACCCACATGTCTTATCTCATCCTTTATATCAGCCACTAAATTCTTTCCTTTGAGTCTCTGTTTTAATTGTTAATGTTAAGATATTAGTGGTATTTTAGGTTTGGGCTTTTCTATATGATACAGTTTGATTTTCTGTTTTTTTCTGTACCCCTCCCCTTATAGGTGGAAAGATCTAATTAGATATGGATAAGTGTTCAAATGCATAATAATATAATTATATAGTTGCTTATTTTGAAGGAATTTCACAGAAGAAATAAATGTGTTAATTGTTCTTCATATGATTTGTAAGCCTGCAGTTACATCAAATCTACAAGGCACTAGGCCTCTGGATTTCATCATTTGCCAGTTGAACCTGAAATCAGCCCATACTCAATGATCTTAGAACTTCTCATAGAGTAACCTGGAATGTTCAGTCCTGGAGTTGGAGACAGTTATATACCATCATTTACATTTATGAAGTTACCAGTAGTTCTTGGTTGAAAATTAGACCCATAAAGAAACTGATTCGGGGCGTCTGGCTGGTTTAGTCAGTAGAGCATATGATTCTTGATCTTGGGGTTCTGAGTGGGAGCCCCACATTGGATGTAGAGATTACTTAAAAAAATAAAATCTCAAAAAAAAAAAAAAAGAAAACTGATTCATCTGGCAATATTTTATATTCAAAGTTTATTGTATTTTATTCAACAGAAATGCACATCAGAACATTCACCCAGAAAACCAAGAGCTAGTAAGGGTGCTTCGGGAGCAACTTCAAACAGAACAGGTACTGTTGTTATATAAATATGTGCATTTATATAAAGAGTAATGTTATTGCCCTTGCATATGAAATTGTGATGAAACAATAAATTACTTTTTGGAAACATGGACTAATTTCCTGCTTTATTAATTATTCTATTGATTGTATATTTTCAGATTAGGTAAATGACCAGTCTTAACTACTCAGATGTTTTTATGTGAGTGTTTTTTTTTTTAAACTTGCTTTAAAAACAGCCTCTGACCAATCTCTTAGGAAGCAACTGGAATTTCCAAAGGCAGAGAGTAAGCTAACAGAGACAGAGGACCAAGAAGCAGGGACATGGGAGAAAGCCCTGGAGAAGAGAGCTCCTGCAGATAGCTGGGCAGTGTGGTATGGGAGGGAACACTCCTGGGAAAAGGAAGCCCAAAACAGAATATGGAACCTGACAGAACTTTTGTGGGGGAAGAGAGGTAGAGAGCAGTTTTGATAGAGCTTTGGGGGAAATAAAGAGCCACATTTTCTTAATAGTAATGCTGATCACTGAGTTACCTAAAAATAGTGCTCCAGATATACTGGGCAGGAGGATGGGGCTGGAATACAGCTAACTTCTTTATTTCAACAGGAAGACAATAGATGTCTGAAGTTGGTAAATTAAGAAATAGCAGTATAAGCATATGACTTTTAATTATGTAGGTAAATATCAGAAAATACAAGTTAAAAAGCTAAACTGGTTGCTACCAGGGTGCAGAGGTGGGTGGATTGAGCAGGGTCTGGCCATTTTTCAATAAAAGCCTTTTGATTTGCAAAAAACAAACAAAACAAAACAAAACAAAAAACCCCAGCAGTTTTCCGGTTATTTATTTGTGAGGAAATAATCACTAATTGGCTTTAATGAAATGTAGTGGAAAAACTATTTTTTTTCCCAAGACCTACATATTCCCAGAAGACCTACAAAGAGATAACTACAAGGGGTGGCTTTTTTTTTTTTCCCTCTTCTTTTTCTTCAGTGGTCAAAGTTAGCAAAACTAATTAGGCAAAGAAGAAAACTTTTCTTTCTCCTCTGTGCTTTTAACCAGATGGACTCTGTTAAGAACCAGAAGTGTAATATATTTCATGAAGCCTGGAGCAAGTAGGATATTGTACACCTTCATGCCAAAATACCTAATATCAAAAAATAAAAATTAAAAATTGATTTCCTACTCACCAACCAAAATTTAATTCCAAAGAGTGTTTTACAGTTTCTCCATTCACCAAATATTTATTAAACATCCATATGCTAGACACTGTTCTAGGCATTGAGGATTCAGTTGTGAGCTAAACAAACAAGAATTCCTGCCTTCCAAAAATTAAATTCACTGATGCAAAAATAGTTTAAGAATGTTAGTAGTAATCTGTTCCAGAGCTACTGTTATTAATAATTCATGCTGGGATAGTGTTTTATAATCTGCAGAGTGCTTTCACCTACAGCTATCTTATTTAATCTACAAACATGGTCAGTAAGGCAACAATTATCATTCCCATCTAACATATTAGATCACTAAGACGGTACTTAAATTCACGCTGGCGTTACATGAATGGATCTGGCTATACAGAAGTCCCACAATGAGTCGCATCTTCCACATCCCTTTGTACCACTGTACAATTCTCCTTCCTCACACCTTCCTCGGGCATGGCATTTAGCTCTAGTTAGAATAAAGCTAGTGACTTAGCCCTTTCTGTACTGTCCTATATGGTAGCCACTACCCATATGTAGCTAATTTAATTTTAAATTAACTAAAATTAAATAAAATTTAAAATTCAGTACTTTATAGTTACACTAGTCACCTTTTCAAGGACTCAATACCCACAGATAAAAATTTCCATTACTGCATAAAGTTCTGTTGGACAGCACTGGCAAGTGGTTTTTGTTGTTTTGTTTTGTTTTAGTTAATTTCCAAAGAATAATAATGAAGACAAAAGATAGAGAGGGGGACATTAAGAGTTGTATGTTTTTCTTTTTTGCACCATTAAAAATGATATAAAAGACTAACATCAACGTGTGACCATGGCTTATAGAATATTCTAGTATTTTAGTACTGATTTAAGAAATAGGAGGTTTTTAGTTATGTTTATTAATTTAGGGTGATAAAAATCTTTGATTCAGTTTACAACTAATAGTTCATATTTAGCCAATTTTATAATTTTTTTGGTAATTTGATGTTCTTAATGCTGGCTACTTTGTTTATAAGAGGTGTGCTGGGTGCTGTAAAAATAGGTTTTTATACGTATTTTAAGAGATACCCATTACATACTAGTTTTAGATACTTTTCTAGTTCCTGGGTCACCACCATGAGTCCTATAGATAAAGTCCTTATCCTCATATCACTTATATTCTGGTGGGTTCTTTGATATCTGGATGCCTCTTGTAGTGGTGATTCTATTCCACATTCCTATTACAGTCACAACAGTGATATAACTGAGGAACATTAAATTTATTAATCTGACCATGTGAAAGACTAAGCCCAGGTTACCAGTGTATTAAATTTTCCTTCTTCCGAAATGACCAGTATTCTTCTTTGAAAGTTTTAATTCTGGACCCTTGTGAAGTACAGCATACATGCAACATTTGTCAGGAATGTATGAATGAAAAATGTTAAAAATGGTTAAAGCTGGGCGGGGGGAGGGGATGGAGGGGACAGGGTAACTGAGTGATGGGCATTAAGGAGGGCACATGATGTTACGAGCTCTGGGTGTTACATAAGACTGATGAATCACTGACTTCTACCTCTGAAACCAATAATACACTATATGTTAATTAATTTTATGTAAATTTAAAAATGATTAAAAGCTAATACTTGGGAAACAGTGTGACATGTCTTTAGCTTTTGCGTTAGCTCAGCCTTGAGTTTCTCAGAATAACTTACTCATTCTAACAGAGTGAAAGAGAAACTCCGAAGTTAATGTAGGTTTTTGTCTTTATGTCATGTTCAGGAAGGAAGGTAGAAACCATGCAGCTTAAATAAAACAATAATATAGCCTTATAACTTTATCAAACTTAGAAAACTTTAAACCTACTGCACATCTAAAATTTGATGAGGATTATGCACTCTGGACTGTGTCCTTAAGTATAATTGTATTCCTCAAGATAATTTTGTGTAACTGTGCATACGTATTTTCTCATCAGGATGCCCCTGCTGCTGCTCGACAGCAGTTCTACACTGACATGTACTGTCCAATCTGTTTACATCAAGCCGCCTTCCCTGTTGAAACAAACTGTGGGCATCTTTTTTGTGGTAAGCAAACAGTGCTCTATTTGGGGAAAGTGACTAGGTTGGATTCCTAATGTTGTCACATTTTGTATTACGTGAATGGGGTAGATTGCTTCTGATATCCCGCTCTACTTGTTAGCCACATTCATTTAGTGTCTGTGAACTCCAAGATTAAAAAACACTAGTTGTTCAACTTCTTAATAAACAGAAATATGTTTCTTTGAATGGTAATTCAAGTATATGAATACCATGAGGAATTCACTGAATCCCTCATTGTTTATCACCTTTTGGTAGTTTCATTTATTATTCATTCTTCCCAAGGCTGGAAGGTTCTCTTAAGGACCTGCCCAAGACCTTCCCTTTAGCACTCTTAACCTCCTTTGTACCCTGCATCAGCACAAAAGTTGTTAGCCTGTTTTTTGTTGTGACCTCAGAGGGTGGTAAGAGAGAATGATGAGCCTAGATCATAGAGTAGGACAAGAAGAGAATATAGATTGCACACTTGCCTAGTATCAGTAAGGGGTGCTTTCTACCTCTGGGGGTTTTTCCTGACCCTCCAGAAAGATTTCATAAAGAATGAGATATCGTATAGTCACTGCTCATTACGGTCCTATCAGATTGGGGAGAGTCAGTTACTGCATGCCTACTACATGCTGGACACTTAACATCCTTCATCTCCTTGAATCCCACATCTGAGGAATCTGAAGCTGAATTAAGAAATTCTACAAAGGGTAACCCACCTGCTAAAAGAAAGAGCCAGATTTTAAATGTAGGTCTAACTTCAAACCCTGTGGTCAGTTCTGCTATGTGATTAGTAGCTTCTACGACTACTCTTTGCTTTACATTTACCCATTCACTAGACCTGTTGTTTTATTTATAGTATTTCTTTGTGTTTCAATGGCTGTATTCAAGATAGGGTTCTAATCGCTCCCAAAATGTACCCATTTTCCATTTTAAGACAATTTAAAACGTAGCATACGATGATCCTTTAAGTTTCTTTTCCCCCTTTGTACCTGTTGTTTGAGTTTGTATAGAATTAGTAGGGATGGAAATAATTTGAAATCCATATCATGCAATGCAGGGTTTTCTATACCTGTGCTCCTTTAGTAAGTATTGACCAATCCCATTATTGCATCGTCCATCAATTTCATCCTCTTCCCTAAGGTTTTTCCCTAAGTTAGCTAACAAGTTATTAAACACTCATTTCAGTGTCCATCTTTATCTGTTGGGAATGCTAATGAGCAGCAAAATCATGAAATATCAGATAGAGAGAATTAAATGGCCATGAGAGAAAGCAGATACTTTTCCGCCTCTCAAACCTCTGGTAGATACACCTTTTTTTCTTTTTTTTTTTTTTTTTTTAAGATTTTATTTATTTGACGGAGAGAGCAAGAGAGCACAAGCAGGGGGAACAGTAGGAGAGGGAGAAGCAGGCTCCCTGCCAAGTAGGGAGCCCAATGTGGGGCTTGATCTGGGGCTCAATCCCAGGACCCCGGCACCATGACCAGAGCCGAGCCAAAGGCAGATGCTTAACCATCTGAGCCACCTGGGTGCCCTGGTAGATATTCCTAATCAATTGGACATTCTTTCCGAGCCTAGATATGGCCTCAACCATCCTTTAACATAGTACTTCAGGCAGGTGTTAAGAATCAATGAGGTTTGGCAGGCTAGGTGAACTCCATTTACCAACCCAGGCTTAGGTAATTCACTGAGTGGATAGCCCAGTCAATTGAAAGATGGCTGTATTGTGTTCTTGGTTTCTGGGTCTGAGGTAATTGGGTAGATTGCTTCTAATAGCCTGCTGTACTTGTTAGATACTTTTATTTACTGTCTCTAGGTTCGAAGATTTAAAACACCAGTCATTCAACTTCTCAATAAACAAATGTGTTTCTCTGAATAGTAGTTCAAGTATATTGATACGATATGTATCAAGAGCACCTTAGCTTAGTTCTGTATATGGAACTAAGTTCTCTTCCTTTATAGTGAGCTAAGAATAATAGTAGCAACTGACTTCATCTTACTTGCATTTGTAACCCATATTGTTTTATTTAATTCTTCAGCAGTCTTATGAAGTGTTACCCCATTTTACAAATAGACTCAGAGAGATTATGACCCAGACTAAAGGCAGTGAGTCATCTCTCCCACCATCTTATTTAAGTGGATCTCTCTTTTTATAGGGGGGAAAGCTGAAGAAAAGGGAAAACCTTGAGCATATCATAGCAGATATGTGTGAACTGGAGCATTTGATTTGCTGGACCGTAGTTTTTCTGTGCAGTCAGTGGCCATTACATAATTTGCAAAGCAAGGACACCTGTACTTGAGATGTGGGATTAAATAAGTTAATATATGTCAAAACACATTGAATTTTTGTGTGAACAAGTAGTAGATAAAGCTGAGGCATCATTACGGATGTTAATAATAATACTAACAAGATTTGTAAGTTTTGCTTTCATATAGTTTCTATGTGAAATTAGATTACTCAAATTAATAAATATTATCTAACACAGCACTCAGAGTAGGAAAAGATGCCACATATTGTTTGGCTTTTAAATTCATCTTTAAATCATCGTACCTGTTTTTCCACATAGTCACTGTAATGTCCAATGTGGATAGCCTTTGCTTAGCCCCTTGGTTTGCTCACCATTCTTCTCACATACCATTTGTTTCTACTTCTGGCATTTGCTCCCTTCTGTTCATAAAACTGGGAGCATCCTACTTCCTGTTTTCTATATCTAAATCTTCCCTATCCTACAAAGTTCAATTCAAATCCTTTCTCATCTACAAATTACTCTCTGATGCATCCCAGAGTTCTCCCTCCCTGCATTCCTTTTGTACTTAAAGTTAATAGTAAACAGTTTGAGATTTAACTACCTTCCGATTGATTTCACTATGTCACCTTGGTCTTCTCAATTTGTCTGTCGTTGCTTATTCTATTTTTTTTTTTTAAGATTTTATTTATTTATGTGACAGAGAGATAGCGAGAGCAGGAACACAAGCAGAGGGAGTGGGAGAGGGAGAAGCAGGCTTCCCGCCGAGCAGGGAGCCCCATGCGGGGCTCGATCCCAGGACTTTGGGATCATGACCCGAGCCGAAAGCAGACGCCTAACGACTGAGCCACCCAGGTGCCCCATCGTTGCTTATTCTAAATTCTGGTCATTTATTTGATCTGGAAGAATCAGAATAAGGAATGCAGGAGGGCTAAGCTAGGTTGCTAAGACAAGAGTAAGAAAACAAAAGATCCTGGAGGCTGAAAGCACTTAGTTCAGATTCACAATGGGCCCTGAATTGTATGAGAAACAGGTGTCCTGCAGAGAAGAAATGAATTTGCCCCTTAAACATCAGACAGTATTTTAAAATATTCCTTCTTGGGGTACCTGGGTGGCTCAGGTCATGATCCCAGAGTTCTGGGATCAAGCCCCACGGCGGGCTCCCTGCTCAGCCGGGAGCCTGCTTCTCCCCTTCCTTCTGCTCCTCCCTGCTTGTGCTCTCTCTCTGTCAAATAAATAAGTAAAATCTTCAAAAAAATAAAATTAAATTAAAATAAAATATTCCTTTTTCATTTGTTAGTGTCCTGAATTTTAGTGCTTCTATACTTAGCTTACCTGCCACTTTTTGAGGTCTATAAACTCTTCCTTTAAGCTGTTTTGCTGCTCATGAACACCTTCTAGCAGAAAAATCAAATCCATCCAGTACAAAAGTTGATTCAATTATTAAACTGGATTATAAACTTTATTAGGTCAGACAGCCTGTAATCTTTGTATCCTTTGGTTCCTTGTTCATGGTACTTAATTATTATTATACCACTGTAACTTGGCTTTCTAAATTCTTTAAAAAAATAGAAGTGATGTTTTTGTAACATATATACCAAATTTGGACCAGAAAACTTATACTGTGATTTGTTGGTTGTCATATTTGCAATGATGTTTATTTATTTTACATAAGAAGTGCAATATTTCTATTAAGTCTCAGCATTGAAGCAGTTAATGCATGCTTGCTTTGGATTATATAAAAATGTCTGTATCTTAACTAATAGTTTAAATAAAAATATTTCAATGGCTGGGAATTGTTACTAGATTTGAATTTGCCTAAGGGTTGGATGAAATAAAAAATATTTTAATATAAGATGATACTATAAAAATATTTCAAATATTTGAAACTTTCTGAGGATTCATGGGTTTTAAAATTTAAAACATCAGTATTAATGGGTTTTTTTCCTCATTAGGTACCTGCATTATTGCATACTGGCGATATGGTTCCTGGCTTGGGGCAATCAGTTGTCCAATCTGTAGACAAACGGTAATGTTTGTATCCAGAAAGCATCATTTATGTTAGTTCATTTTGTAAATTTTTATCATTTCTGTATCTACTTTTGAATTGTTTTGATCTTTTTTAAGTTTTTATTTAAATTTCGTTTCTGGTGTACAATATAGTGAATCAGCACTTCCATACAATATCCGGCGGTCATCTCAACAAGCACGCTCCTTAATCCCCATCACCTGTTTCACCCATCCCCCCAACCCACCTCCTCTCTGGTAACCATCAGTTTGTTCTCTATAGTTAAGAGTCTGTTTCTTTCTTTGCCTCTCTCTCTCTTTTTCCCTTTTCTTGTTTTGTTTCTTAAATTCCACATATGAGTGAGATCCTAGGGTATTTGTCTTTCTCTGATTGACTCATTTTGCTCAGCATAATACTGTAGCTCCATCCATGTCATTGCAAATGGGAAGATTTCATTCTTTTTTATGGCTCAGTAATACTCCATTATATACACATACCTCATCTTCTTATTCCATTCATCAGTCAATGGACACTATCACTGTTCCATAATTTGGCTGTTGTAAATAATGCTGCTAAACATTGGGGTGCATGTATCCCTTTGCATTAGTATTTTTGTATTCTTTGGGTAAACACCTACTAGTGCAATTGCTGGATCTTAGGGAAGTTCTGTTTATCCAAAGCTTCTATAATGTTACTCCATTATTTTTTTTAATGTCTTAAAGACAGCAAAAAAGGGAAATAAATCCTTCTAAATCCTTCAATTATATTAAAAAACTGGTAAATTAATCCTCCCCAAAATTCTAGTAAGTCTTCATTGTAATACTAGCAAAGGAATAACTGAACTAGCTAATCAGGCTTAACCAAATATTTCCCCTACATATACTTCTTTTGAAATAAGAAAATGTTTTTCTCTTTCAATTTACCTTTAATCTGCCCTTCTCCAGTGAGGGTCTAGATAGCTTTATATGATGAATAATAATTGTTTAATGTCTTTTTTGGAGACATATCCATATTACATGATCCAGAACAGATCAGACTATTTTAGTTAGTATAGAAGCTACTTCAGGAGTGAGATGATAAGTTTTTATAAACATATACTGAAGACTGAAAAATCACAGATTTTCTCAATTTCTTGGACAAACTGGAAAAACAAAATACTGAAAAGTTTGAGAAAATGAAGTTCTTGGTTTTTTAATTAGTAAATATAGTAAAATAGAACATTATATCAGTTGGTTTTTCATAATTTCCTGTATACTTATTTTGTTTTTCATTTAAATCAAAATACCTACTTTCTAATAATGAGTTATGAAATGTAAAAAGACAGCAGCTCCTTAGGAAGTATTCCAGTGTGCAAAGTGAAGTCCAGAAAGGATAGAGAGCTTTCAAGATATCAAATTGAACACATATATTTACTTTTGCTACTCTTTGCAACCCCATTAAAAGAACAGGACATTTTGTAAAGGCAAAAACCCACAGAGATCAAAAAATGAAACAAAATGGTAGAAGAGGCAACAATTTTTCTAAAATTCTTTGTAAACTATAACAGACATACAGAAAAGCACACAAAACAAAAAAGTACTGCTCATTGAATTATCACAAAGGAACACTTCAATAATCACCACTCAGATGAAGAAATAGGAACTGGCCAGCAGCCCCGAGAAGCCTCCTCAGGACCAAATCTCCACCCCCTCCTTCCTCTCCTAGAGGCTACTCCATAAATGACTTTTATGATAAGCATTTCTTTGATTTTCTTATAGGTGTATTACCTTAGCATGCACCTCTAAGATTATTGTCTAGTTTTGTGTGATTTTTGGACCTTATATGAATAAAACCATATAGTATGTATTGTTAAACACACACAGACACACACATTCTTTCAACTTTTGTTCTGGCTATCCACTTACCCCCATCACTGCCTCATTTTTTGGTGTAGAGAGGGAGGTTCAGGGATTTATCTTCTTTCCCCCTTCTACATTCCCAAATTCTGTCTCTTTTACATTTGACTTTGTATTACATGGCAGGAGGAAAATCGTTTTTGGGGGGTTTTTTGTTGTTGTTGTTTTTTGTACTGCCTCTCTGGTTGATTTGATTATGTGAAACAAGTCAGTCAACAGTGAAGTTTATTTGCCAGTACAACCTCTCATAATCTTTAGCTATCTTTCAGCAACATGTTTCGTGTGAGACCAGGCCATGGGTCTCACACGAAAGAATTATTAGTTCACACCTGTCCCCTCTTCTTGGCTCCATCCATGGCTTTTCATGGGGTATATATGTATTAGCAGGTGATATCCTTTTGACCACCCATAAATAGCTAGGGTCTAGAAAGGTAGAGATAAAATTGTTTTTATATAATAGCTTTTGTTTCCCTAACTAGAGAATAATTCATCCTGGAAGTAGGACAGGTGGTTGGTACCTGTTCCCCACCCTGTTTTGCTGGATTTAGTGCACAGGTTGCTGCTTCTGACTGTAACATGCTCACCACTTCTCTTCCTGAATGCATACGCTAACATACGAGTGGCCCGAGCTGCACTTCAAGGGCCAGCTTATGTTTCCACTTTCTGGGCATCCGAGGCAGAAGTCCTTATTCTCAAGTGTCATAATAACCCCCACCACCAGCGCCTTATAACAGGTCTGCCTCCCCTTCTATCTTGGGTGTTATGGTCAGCAAGGGGCAGGGCTATGTCTTCAGTTTTGGGGTCTGTGTAGCACTTAGCACAGTGCCTGGCCCAAAGTAAGTGCTCACTTATTATTCATTGAAAGATGCACTTTTATTAGCAAATTAGCAAATTTGTGAAGAGAGTCTGTACCTGCTTTCCTACCACCTACTGCTCTTCATCACTCCTTTGTTTGGCTGTATGGAAAGCATCTGCATAGTGGGAAGTCCTGGTTTTACAGCTGAGCTGAGGAAGGATAAAAACAGCTAGATGATTTAAACCTAAATCTGTCACTGCTCCGTCCCATTTTTTTTTTTTAAAGATTTAATTATTCATCTGAGACACAGAGATAGAGAGAGAGAGCATGAGCAGGGAGAGAGGCAGAGGGAGAGGGAGAAGGAGGCTCCTTGCTGAGCCAGGAGCCCGATGTGGGGCTCGATCCCAGGACCCTGGGATCATGACCTGAGCCGAAGGCAGACGCTTAACCATCTGAGCCACCCAGGCATCCCTACTCCTTCCCATTTTTATCTCCTTGTACAGTGACTATTTCTATAGGCATTGATATATTTTAAAATATACTTATTTTTCAAGATACTGTCATCTTCAGATTACCTCAGTATGGGTCCTGGGACATTTGTGTATCCTTATCTCTACCATGGAGGAAACCAGGTTAAAAGTATTACGTTATATAACAGTATCAAGAATTACCTTTTTTGATGATAGTAGGGATGGGTGCTTGAGAGTGGGTCCCTGCAATAATTTCTGTATTATGTTTGGTAGCATTCAAAGATATTTCAAACACCAGTGAGGTTGAAGAATAATGATTTTAATCACAAAAGAAATCCCTAATTTTTCACCCTCACAATGATAAACATATATTTTTATGTCACTTCACTCCTGAGTATTTTCTCATCATTCTTATATCTTCAAATATTTGTTAGCCCAAACAGAGAACTACTGACTATCCCTGGCATGAACTGGAAAATATTAAAACCAGTGTTTGGTTGAGGTACCCATTTGATTTTATGGGAATTCAAATTACATTTTGCATTGCATTTTATTATAAGGCAATGATAACTTACTTCCTCCCCATGTTGCCTTTATTAAAAGAAATGAGTGAAAAAAAACCAAAATGAGTGAAATATAAATTTAGAAGCTTTTCTCATTCTATTGAATAATAACACAAAATGAAAAAAAATTAATGCTGCAGAAAGGTATAACAATTTTTTTCTTTTTGTAATATACAGGTGACTTTACTGCTAACAGTATTTGGTGAAAATGACCAATCTCAGGATGTTGTATCATTGCGCCAGGATATTAATGATTATAACCGGAGATTCTCAGGGCAGCCCAGATCTGTAAGTATTGTTATAGCAGGTGCAAAGTTAGAATATAATGATACTTCTCTTTGGTAAGGTGAGATTAACCAACAAGTATTCTTTGATTATAAAAAGTCTCATTGTTTATGTGTGTTGGGTAAAGTTTTAAACTTCATCCTTGTTGGGGCGCCTGGGTGGCTCAGTTGGTAGGCGACTGCCTTCGGCTCAGGTCATGATCCTGGAGTCCGGGGATCGAGTCCTGCATCGGTCTCCCTGCTCAGCGGGGAGTCTGCTTCTCCCTCTGACCCTCCCCCCTCTCATGTACTCTCTCTCTCTCTCATTCTCACTCTCTCAAATAAATAAATAAATCTTTTAAATAAAATAAAATAAACTTCATCCTTGTTGTCAATCACTGAGTTACAGTTTTCCAAAGGACTACAGTTTTCTATCTTAAAAAAAAAAGTCATTATAAAATCTTTATGAAAGAGATTCCAGAAAAAAAAAAAAGGAAAAATTGGAGGGAAATGTAAAATTATTGACTCCTGTGCAAATCTAAAATAGGGATTATCCAATGAGAAACTTATAACTGAGAACTTCTGGAGAGTTTTACAATTGTGTCTTCCACTTTTTTATTTACCCTGACCTCCTCTTTGAAGTAACTCTAGGTGTTGGAGAGGTTTTTTTGTTATGTCATTTTAGTTACTCAAAAGCGTTTGATTTTTAAAGAACACATTAATTTAATAGTTGACCTCCTCCCCTCAAAAAAAGGCATGTGATAGATTAAAAACTCTCACATTTTACTGGCTCATTCCAGTTTTTTTAAAAATCTAACAAAAGAATTCTAGAAGTGTGTGCGTGACTAAGTATGTACTTCAAAAATCAATATTGTAAATACAAATTTATATGGAAAGCCTAGACCTCTCCTCTGAGCTCTAGAGCATGCATCTAAGTGCCTGGCTTACATCTCCACTTGGATGTTCCATAGTCATCTCAAACATGGTATGTACAATATTGAATTGCTTCCCTCCTCAACTCAGTGTATTCTTTTCTCAGTCTTAGCTGTTTTGATTTCTTCCTTTCCCTCATTCCCTTCATCTGATACATAAATAAGTTGTATTATCATTTCTTTTCTCCTTTTGGGAGATCCTGTCATTTTTAGCTCATAAAAATGTCCTGTGTCTGTAGCCATTATACTAGCCTAAGCCACCATCATCTCTTGCTTAGGATAATAACTGCAAGTGGCCTCTTCACTGTGACTTTTTTCTCTGCACAGCAGCCCAAGTAATATTTCGAAAACATAAGACCATGATATTCTTGTATTTGAAAACTTCCAGTGTTTTGGAATAATGTTCCAATTCCTTCCTGTGTTTACAAGGCCCTACATGACCTGGTGCCTCCCTCTCAAGCTCACCCAAAATGCTTCACCTCCACCGGTCGCTTTTCAGCTCTCAGAATACACTCCAAGTCTTCCCATCGTAATGCCTTCACACATGACCCCTCAATTGGGAATGCTTGTCCCTCGCTCTTCTCATGGCTGACTTCTCATCCTTTAGGTCGTTCTTAAGTAGACCTTCCTAAGAGAGGCTTTCCCTGATCAACTAAGGTATTCTCTATCACTGTCCTCTGCACCGTTCCTTTGTAGCATTTGTCACAAACCATACTCAAATCTTGTTCATTATCTTTCTCTCAGTAGACTAAAAGCTTCTTGAGGGCAAGAACTATATTTATATATCCACTGCTATATTCTCATCACCAATTTCAGTGCCTGGGATACAGTAAGCCTTTGATATTTGTTGAATAAATTAATGAGTTATGGTTAAGAATTGATACTACTACTCTCAGCCAAGAATATAAGCTATTAAAATGCTTCAGTATTAAACACTTGTGTGCTCTTGTGCTTCCTTGCATGTATTTCTTATACTGTGATGTCATGTACATATAAGGGCATACAGTTTCAGCTTTTGTGGATAACGGGTAAATCTTCTAGATGTTTAAACAAAAAGAAAGTTAATCCAATCACTGTTGTCCTTCACAGTTATTTGAGGGCCTCTTCTGCTATTTTTCATCCAGCAATTTTTTTTTTTTACATATCCTCTAGTGTCATCTGTAGGATGATTCTTTGAAAATCAACATGTTCCAAATTCAAGACCTACCACTGAACTTAAGAAAAAAAAAATCATTTTAAGATATTCATTCCTGTTTTTAAGTCTGAAGCATATCGTTGCTCAATTAATTTTTGGTAGGTGTCAGATATTTGACAAGTCCGGTATGTGATGAAATTACAGTGTAATAGAGATATTTAGCTCTTACTGTAATATTCTGCCTCATCCAAAGTTGGAGTAAGATTGTGATTAATATACAAACACTTCTTAGTAACCCATTTCATACTTCTTATCTACTTACCTACTTATTGTTTGTATAAGTGATATGAGAAGTGAACAAACAGCTCTGATAAAGGACAGAAAAGTATTCAAAAGATATACTAGCTGGTCCCTAGAATATTTAAAACAGTTTACCATAGACTTGTGAAAGTTGTGCTGCTGTTTTGCTTTAAAGGTTAGTTTCTCCAGTAGAGAATAGAAAATTGACATAGGAACTGATTCTAAAAAGACCATTTTGGTTTTTTGTGATCAGTTTTCCAAAAAGGATTTACAAGATTATCTGGTGGAGTTTATAAAACTCTTTCTTTCTTTTTTTTTTTTTTTTTAAAGATTTTATTTATTTATTTGAGAGAGAGAGAATGAGAGATAGAGAGCATGAGAGGGAAGAGGGTCAGAGGGAGAAGCAGACCCCCCGCTGAGCAGGAGCCCGATGTGGGACTCGATCCCTGGACTCCAGGATCATGACCTGAGCCGAAGGCAGTCGCTTAACCAACTGAGCCACCCAGGCGCCCCTATAAAACTCTTTCTTTATCACTTGCTCAGTTCTTCCCATTTTTGTCTCCACTTCCCTCTCTGCTTATTTGGCACTTGTGAAACAAACAAAATACATACTTGGACATATTGTAATTGTACAGATTGTTAACTAGAGCTGAACTGTGCCCAGTGGAATGACCACAGGAAGTGACTTTCTTCCCCTGGTCAGTTTCTCTGTATCTACCAGCCCCTGACAAATGAGATCGTGAAAGAAGTTATGTTGAGAAGTCATGGTAGTTCATTACTACACAGGACCATATAGTCCAAAGAGACTACACAAAACAAATGCAAAGTTTGCAGGCAGAGGATAAACTAACTTGCTCAAGGTTATACAAATAGATAGTAGTACTCTTTTGTTAACAGCTTTATTTAGATGTATTTTACACATCATAAAGTGCAACCTGTTTATATAATTCAATGGTCTCTAGTGTATTCAGAGTACATATAATCTAGTTATTGTCATAATCCAATTTTAGAATATTTTCATCATTCCAGAAGCTTTGGCATCCCTTCTCATTCACCCCTTTCCTGTCCCCTCTCCCCAGTCCTTGGTAACTACTAATTTACTTTCTGCCTCTATAGATTGGGCTAATCTGGATATTTCATCATTTCATTGAAATGGGATCATATAATATATGGCCTTTTGTCTCTGGCTTATTTCACTTAGCATAGTGTTTTCAAGGTTCCTCCATGTTGTGAAATATATCATAACTTCATTGCTTTTTATGGCCAAGTGATATATCACATTTTGTTTATCCATTCATCAGTTGATGGGCATTTGAATTGTTTACACTTTTTGGCTATTATGAATAATGATTCCATTCATATTTATGTACCAGTTTTTGTGTGGACTCATATTTTCATTCCTGTTGGGTATATGCCTCATTGTGGAATTGCTGGATATTATGGTAACTCTGTTTAACATTTAGAAGAACTGCCAAACTGTTTCCAAAGAGGCTGTTCATTCCCACCAATAATGTGTGAGGGTTCCAATTTCTCTGAATGCCTCAATTTTCAAAAATTTATGTAATTTGTTTTCAGCTGTGAAAATTATGCTATGTAAAAACCTAGAAATTGATGTTTTTGTACATATTCAGAAATGTAATCATTTTCATAAAGGTAGGGTCTGGCATTCCAAAAATCTTTGTGGCAATTAGTAATTAACTTAAAACTCCCGCTAAGCCAAATAAACATCCTAGGAAGGAGTCCGTTTCGTTTCATTGCTATTCTTAGACTGTCAAAGTCATCCAAGTTAATGTGTCTTTAATGTATACTACTTCTATATTGTCTGGCAATGTATAAAGGTGTTTTGTATACAGTATCTTTTAGTTCTTAATAGTCCTTGTGACACATACTTGGTTAGTTGTTGCTCGATCTCAATTTGGTTAAACAACTTTCCCCAAGGTTACCTGACTACTAAGAGATTGACTTTGAGTTTAAACCCAGACCCAGCTCAAGCCTCAGGCTCTAATCCTGTATACACTAAGTGCTTCATTTGGTTTATTTTACTAATTCAAATTAGAGAGGACTTGAGTTTTGCCTCACTATATCCTGTATTTTAAGTTTGTTGACATTTTAGTTGCTTTTCAGTTATCTGCAGTAAAGATCTATTTTAGAAGAACCTAGTTATCAAAGATGTTTTTAAATAAAATGCTTAACTAGAAAATATGTGAAATTCCTTAATTCATGTTAACTGAGTTTGCACATTGTAAGAAAATTATACTGATTTCTGACATATTAGATGACAAATCATATCTTGTTCTTCCCCCTACCAGATTATGGAAAGAATTATGGATCTACCCACTTTACTGAGGCATGCATTCAGGGAAATGTTTTCAGTCGGGGGCCTTTTCTGGATGTTCCGCATCAGGATAATACTTTGTTTAATGGGAGCTTTTTTCTATCTTATATCACCTCTAGATTTTGTACCTGAAGCCCTGTTTGGAATTCTAGGCTTTCTAGATGATTTCTTTGTTATCTTTTTGTTGCTCATCTACATCTCTATTATGTATCGAGAAGTGATAACACAGAGGCTAAACAGGTGAAAAAATGTGTTTACTAAAAATATGTGTGAAACCAGACAGAAGGGCCCATGGCAGTATACAGTATTTGAATATTATTGTACAAGCTTAAAACCATGTATGACAAACATTTGATTTCATTTGGCAAATGCCTACCAAGATATGACTGGAATTTTTACGTTACAGGTTCTAATATTAAGGATAGAATTATAATAATTTACAATTATATCTTGATTCTGTGTTGTCTATAAAGTCTCTGGAAAAAAACATAGAATTATATAAAAAGGGATGATTTTATATCTTTCTTTTTCCAAAAATTAGATTAATTGGATGTATAGTAAGATATTGTTTTACAGTTTATCCAATTTCTCCTCAGTGTGTACCTATATGATAATAAATTGCTATGAGATGCATCTAATTATTTTTGTTACAATAAAATGTTGTACAATATTGGGGGAAAGTCAATGTGTCTTTTAGTGCTAGCTACATTTTATGCACTTGCAGCAGTTGTGCTTTTCCATCCTGATACAATTCTTTGCTGTCAGCTAAAAGTAAAAGAAGGAACTTGAAGTTTATAATTTGTTTTCATGTTCTGGTTTATAAAACACTTCTTAATCAATAGAAGAATTAAGGTATAAAACATTTATCTGCAGTCAGCACACATGATTTTCTCAGTTGTGACATTTAAAGAAGAGTCTGGTCCTTTTATAGGAATAATATATAAAAGTTAACTTGGAAAGGGAAATTTTTTTCAGGAACTTCTGTGATACTGTAAACACATAGTATGTTTGATGAATTTCTGAGGAAAGTAGATTTTCATGGCAATGAGCATCAAAAACCTTGGGAGGGGTATAGGAACACTATTTAAATTTGATGAGAAATTACTGGTGAGTTATACCAACAGAATGGACAAATTTTGTTTTCTCTTGTCAGAAAACTTTTGTAATACTGTCCCTAGATGGCAGCATATAGCCCACATTCCTCAGGTCTAATACAAAATGAGCAAATGTTGTCTGAGGCAGTTCAATAAGAAAGTTATCTTGCTTTTTTTGATGGCTACAGCATAAGTACCTAACGCTCTCATCTGCAGTTTTCTGTTTTAGAAGAATCAAAACCACAAGTGTTATGAACTCCTAACTCCCTCGGCTGGAACTGCTCATCTGTGAACTGGACAGCAGGGCAATCGATGCCAAGGGGTCAGTGTTGGCTCTGTCATACTGTCCATTCATGTATTAGTGAACCTCGTTATGTATTGATAGGGAGAGAGAACCCAAATCTATGATGTTCTCTCAAGTTCATCAGATTAGTCATCAATTAATGAGATGCTGAATGAAATATCAATAACAGTATTTTCTAATTTGGGTGTAGGACAAAGCTGTTGCTTGTCATAGAGAAAACAATAATGCTTAAATATAGCACATTATAATTAAAGCATTTCTCGCATACTTGAGCTTTTATCCTTAGGACAGTTATGTGAAGAAGGCAGGGCACTGCCTTCCTTTTCGTAGATGAAATCCATATGTTACAGGTCAAAGTTTGGTCTGAAGCCATGCACAAATAAGTGACTAAACAGCTATTAGACTCTTGGTAAACTCCTTAGTATGGGTTTAAATAGATGTGAAGGTTATTATGAAGAGGGGAAGCAGGAGAGAAACTGGAATCCTTGGGAAGTCTCAGAACACACTGGAGTAGCATCACTTAGGTGATTCTAAGAGGTCTAGAAAGATTACATATCAAGATTTCATGAATCCTAATTCTCCACTTCCAAATCAAATGTCCAATATGGTGGCATGATTCATAGAAAACATTTCAGCTGCAGTCACCAAGTTAAAAAGCTAATGAGTTGGGACTTCGTTAATGCCACTATTTACCAGACTAGAAACGTATTTTTCGTCAATTACAAATTTGGTGTGGGGCTACAGCAATGTCATTTTTTTGAAAGGATTTAATTTTTCTCTGCATGTATTCTGCTGCAAGTGTCACGTTTCTAGTTACAGTTTTACTGTAATATTTGGAATTCCTTCTAAGATTTTCTCAGTAGAGGTGTATTGTACCAACTTCTGTAACATACAGAAACACTATATAATAATGTGAAGTCTTATTAAACTGAAAAGGGAACATGCGGACATCTCAGAATTTTAGGCCTGCTTATTATGTCATCTTTAATGATCATTGATAATAAACATGAAAGGGATCTGAGAAAGTATTTAAACCAAGTAGAATCGATCAGTGTTTTAAGCATAGTAATGCTTCTATGATTCAGTTAGATAGTATAAGTCAAAGGAACAATTTGGATTTTTGTAAACTGCAATATGTAACTTTCACAAAAACAGATGGTCCAACCCCAGGAGCAGAAGATAACTTTGGGCAGCTCTTGTGGGAAACAAGATGGTGGAAACAATTATTCTCACTGTCCACTAGAACAGTGGTTTCAGCTACTACAGTTCTCAGCATTTGAGAGCAACAAGGGACGAAAGGACTTTGTCAGTCCCTGTGGCTGTGCGGATACAAACTTCAAAGGGCTGTTTCAGTGGACTGGCGGTTTGGTCCAAACTGTGTGACTTAGGTTGTCAAGCAGTTATTCTTTTGAATAAAAACAACATATCTAAAATTAAACTTCTGTTATATTCCTGTTTAATATTCTTTGCTTTAAAATTCAGAACTCCTGAAATAGTGTTCAGTATAATTGTTGCAATGACTTTCTTTTTCACTAATGGACATTCAGGGTCTCATCACATTTCTAATTAATTATGCTTCGATTTTTTTAAACTGAAAAAGTAGAAATGTTTTTTTGTTTTTGAGGAAAATTATTTAATCTGGGCAATCTATTCTGGTAATGTGAAACTGAAATTAGAATTTAAGCTTGTACCCTGATTCCCCACCCCTATTTCTTTTGAATATATATTTGATAACTGAAATGTTACCCTTTTTTCTAACTTATTTTTAAAAAATTTTAATTCCAGTATAATCAATATACAGTGTTACATTAGTTTCAGGTATACAATATAGTGATTCAGCAATTCTATACATTATTCAGTGCTCATCATGATAGGTGTGCTCTTCATCCTTTTCACATATTTCACCCATCCCCCTACCCATCTCCTCACCCATCACCAGTTCTATTCAAGAGTCTGGTTTTTTCTTTATCTCTTTTTTTTCTCTGTTTGTTTTGTTTCTTAAATTCCATACATGAATGAAATCATATGGTATTTTTCTTTCTCTCTTAATTTCACTTAATATTATACCTTCTGGATCTATCCATGTTTTTGCAAATGGCAAGATTTCATTCTTTTTATGGCTGAGTAATATTCCATTATATATATACACCACATATATACACATCTTCTTTATCCATTTATCTATCAATGGACACTTGGGTTGCTTCCATATCTTAGCTATTGTAAATAATGCTGCAGTAAACATAGGGGTGCCTGTATCTTTTCGAATTAGTATTTTCATTTCCTTTGGGTAAATACCCAGTAGTGGAATTACTGGGTCATATGGTAATTGTTTTTAATTTTTTGAGGAAACTCCATACTGTTTTTCACAGTGGCTGCACCAGTTTTCATTTCCACCAGCAGTGCAAGAGGGTTCGTTTTTCTCTACCTCCTCACCAACACTTGTTTCTTGGGCTTTTGATTTTAGCCATTCTGACAGGTGTGAGGTGGTAATATCTCATTGTAGTTTTGATGTGCATTTTCCTGATGATGAGTGATGTTGAGCATCTTTTCAGTCTGTTGGCCATCTGGATGTCTTCTTTGGATAAATGCCTGTTCATGTCCACTGCCCATTTTGTAATTGGATTATTTGCTTTTTTGGTGTTGAGTTGTAGAAGTTCTCTATATATCTTTGATACTAACTCGTTATTGGATATGTCATTTGCAAATATCTTCTCCTATTCAGTAGGTTATCTTTTTGTTGATTGTTTCCTTTGCTGTGTAGAAGCTTTTTATTTTGATGCAGTCCCAATAGTTTTTTTTTTTTTCTTTTATTTCCCTTGCCCTAGGAGACCTATTTAGACAAATGTTGCTATAGCTGCTGTCAGAGACAATACCGCCTGCTTACTCTCTCCAAGGATTTTTATGGTTTTAGTCTCATGTTTAGGTCTTTAATCATTTTTAATTTGTTTTTGTGTATGGTGACAGAAAGTAGTTTCATTTGTTTGCACATAGCTGTCTAGTTTTCCCAACACTGTTTGTTTGTTGTACAGACTGTCTTTTTCCCATTGCATATTCTTGCCTCCTTTGTTGAAGATTAATTGACCGTATAATTGTGGGTTTATTTCTTGGCTCTCTATTCCATTGATCTGTGTGTCTATTTTTATGCTAGTTATCATACTGTTTGATTACTATAGCTTTGTAATATAACTTGAAGTCTGGGATTGTGATACCTCCAGTTTTGTTTTTCGAGATTCCTTTGGCTATTCAGGGTCTTGTGTGGTTCCATACAAATTTTAAGATTATTTGTTCTAGTTCTGTGCAAAATGCTGTTAGTATTTTCATAGGGATTGCATTGAATCTGTAGATTGCTTTGGGCAGTATAGACATTTTAACAGTATTTGCTCTTCTAATGCATGAGCATGGAATGTCTTTCCATTTGTGTTGTCTTCAGTTTGTTTCATCAGTGTTTTATAGTTTTCAAAGTACAGGTTTTTCACCTCCTTGGTTAAATTTATTCCTAGGCATTTCATTCTTTGATGCAATTATAAATGGATTTGTTTTCTTAATTTCTCTTTCTGCTACTTCATTGTTAGGGCATAGAAATGCTGTGGATTTCTGTATATTGATTTTGTATCCTACAACCTTATTGAATTCATTTATCAGTTGTAGTAGTATTTTGGTGGAGTCTTCTAAGTTTTCTACATGTAATACTATGTCATCTGCAAAGAGGGGAAGTTTTACTTTTTCCTTACTGATCTGGATGCCTTTTATTTCTTTTCCTTGTCTGATTGCTGTGGATAGGACTTCCAGTACTATGTTGAATAAAAATGAGAGTGGACATCCTTGTCTTGTTCCAGACTGTAGGGGGAAAGCTCTCAGCTTTTCAGCATTGAGTATGATGTTAGCTATGGGTTTTTCATATATGGCCTTTATTATGTTGAGGTATGTTCCCTCAAGCCTACTTTGTTGAGGGTTTTTATCATGAGTGGATGTTGTACTTTGTCAAATGCTTTTTCTGCACCTATTGAAATGATCATATGGTTTTTATCCTCTCTCGTGATGTTGAAATGTTCTTTTCTGAATCTGTGCCCTTATATTTGCACCAACACCTTCCCTCACTCCTCTTTGAAACACTAAATGTACTGATGTACTCCACGCTCTTTTTTTCCTAAACAGCAACACATAAACCTGGGAATGGGTCAGAAGAGGAAAGGGCACTCAAGTTTTTATCGCCCTAAGACAAAGAGTTTCCCAGGACCAGGCCAGTGGGCTGTAAGAGCTGTTGACAGAAGGTGATACTATTTAGAAATAAAGACAAACACTGAGCTTTTGTTATTCTCTCAGAACCAGACCATCTTCATGGCATCAGTATTTGTTTTAAGCATTGCTATACTGCCTACAAGCAAATCTGAGGTGTTATCAGTCACTGTCCTCTTCATCCATATGCATTCTCTGATTTGTTCCATGTCCCAGAAGGGAGCACAAGAGGAGTAAACACCCAGTTGGAAACACTGAACATGTCTGGATACTGTCCTTATTCTTTCAGACTAGTGGTATTTAGCTGTAGGCCTTTTGAGGGGAATATAACATGTGACATAGGAGAGGGCTAAAGGCTAATGATGTTTTAAACTGGCATCTAACAGTTTGGATTTTGTTTAAAAACAAATTCTGGAGAAAGTATTTAAAAATAGCTGTCCTTCGGGCGCCTGGGTGGCTCAGATGGTTAAGTGTCTGCCTTCGGGATCCCAGGGTCCTGGGATCGAGTCCCGCATTGGGCTCCCTTCTCCTTGGGAGCCTGCTTCTCCCTCTGCTTCTCTCTCTGTCTCTCATGAGTAAATAAATAAAATCTTTAAAAAAAAAATAAAAATACCTGTCCTTCCATGGGGCACCTGGGTGGCTCAGTCAATTAAGTGACTGACTCTTGGATTCGGCTCAGGTCATGATCTCAGGGTCGTGAGATTGAGGCCCGTGTCAGGCTCTGTGCTGGGTGAGGAGCCTGCTTAAGATTCTCTTTCTTCCTCTGCTCTCTCAAATAAGTAAATAAATCTTTTAAAAATAAAACCAAGAAAGTAATACCTGACATTCAGATTAAAACACTAATCCTTCTAATCAGTCTTAGAGAAAGCCTTTAATTTATATCTACATGAAAATTAATCTTTGTTTCACTAATCCTAGAATATCAGAACTGGAAGGGACCTTAGGAAACCAATGAAAGCCATAGATAGCTCCCCAGAAAAATGCATATATACACATGTATGTGTAATTTTCTTTCATTTTCAGAGGATTCAAAGACCTGGCCTTTCATGGATTCCAAATTAAGAATTCTCCATTTAGTCCTATAGCTTTACTCTACAGATAAGGATAATGACGGCCAGAGAGAATGAATGCTAGGGTATTTTTAATAAAAGTTGTTTATAGAAAAAAGAAAGCATAGTTGGATAGAAATTAAAATCTGAACTATTAGATATTCATGAGTTTAAAACATCATTAGTCCTTAGCCCTCTCCTACATCAAAACAAGTGGCTTGTTTTTTTCCAGTTTATCCAACAAGAAAACAAAGTTTACCCTTCTTGAACAATTATAACAAAACTTATCCTTTTAATGTCAAGGGTTACATTTTCTTTTTTCCTTAAAAACTATTAATCTATTTCCTTAAAAAGTCTATTAGTAAATGAATTAGCTCTTGTCCTCTTAAGACTGAAAAACATCAGACTTCCAACCAACCTTCCTCAGTTTACCCCTATTTAGTCTCATTCCCTTAAATGGTCATATAAAGCTAAGGCATATATTCATCTTTGACATTTATGTAAGAGACCAAATGAAGAGATCAAATGAGTATATAAACATCTTTCCCATTCTCTAAAAGAAAGGAAATTTTGCATATTTTGTGTAGCCCTTGTTTGCTTTATAAACTTTTATTAAAGTAGAATAAACACCAGGGATTTAAAAAAATTTTTTTAATTTAAATTCAGCTTAACATATAGTATATTATTAGTTTCTGATATAGATTTTAGTGATTCATCAGTTGCATATAACACCCAATGCTCATTACATCAAGTGCTCTCTCTCCTTAATGCCCATCACCCAATTACCCCATCCCTCCACCCACCTCCCCTCCAGCAACCCTCAGTTTACACCAGACACTTTCTAAATCAGGGTCATATGATGAATTATCATAAAGCAAACACACTATCACCTCCATCAAAAGACATATTACCATCATCCCATAAGCCCCCTTTCATTGCCTCTCTGCCCCAAAATAATTTCTTGACTTTTACCTTTTTTACTCTTTAAAAAAATAGGATAATATATTTCCTTTTGTGCGACTTCTTCAGTATTATGTAGGAACCATCCATATTGTTGTGGGTCATAGCTTCTTTATTTTGATTGCTGTATAGTATTCCTTCGTATGACTATACCACAATTTATTCATTCAACTATTAATGGACATTTGGATTGTTAAAAAGGCAGATTATCATCTTTGAAAGTAAATGTTTCTGGCAGTCACCCCTTGACAAGTAGAGAATAGTTATTTGAGCCTTAGGAAATGTTGAGAAGAAATGGGCAAAGGAGAGAAGAAAAACAGACAATGCATGTAAATTAGTTTAGAGAAAGTAGAAATTATTTTTCTATTAAGTAAAGAAATTAACTTGTAGACCACACAGTAAAAATTTGGGGGGTGTTTCAGAAAGAAAAATTCAACATTCAGTTCAATTAATATTTTTTAAATTATAGGCAATTTACTTCAACAAATTTTCCATTTCGAAGTAAGGAAACATTAGGATTATTGTCAATAAATAATAAAAATGTAGATTTCACTTCCAAGTTATGGATAGCTAGAAGAAAGGAAACAGAAAAAAGGGGGAGTGAAGAGGAGAACTTCACTGAGGGAAATCCAACCAAATAACGAAATTGACTAGTTTCACTCTAAACGGATTAAAAGTGATCACAAACCTCAAAAGGGTGCTCTGCACTGGCTGGTGATCCTTGCATGCTTCTTTAGTGGCCTGCATTACCAACCTCTGCGAACTTTTTTTTTTTCAGGAGGGCACACGTGATCTTGTTACTTGGTGGCGTGTAAAGGGGCAGAGAACGATGACAAGTGGAGAAAATTATATAAAATAAAATGGGGCATGTGGGCGGGCCTGGGGGTGGTGCTGGAAAGGACTGGGGGGCAGGGTCCCGGGGGCAGGGTGGGTCTACATCTCCTGGGCTTCGGGCCACTTCTCCTCGATGCCGTTGGACATGGCATGGCTGCCTTCGTGCAGATGCTTCACCCGGTACGCTTCGAAGTGGATGCTGCTGGTGATGTCCTTGATGTTCTGCATGTGCGTCCTGATAAGGAGGTCCCGAAGGTAGGCAAACTCACAGTGGGAGGTGTTCTCAACTTGGATGGTGCCCCATTTGGTTTTCCATCCAAGGATCCTCTTCCCATTCACTTGGTACTCATGGTCACTGCCCACCACGGCGAACGGGATCATCTCTCGAAACTTCTCATTCACCAGCCGGTCCTCCGAGTCCTCCTCAAACGCCTTCTGGGGTACACGTCGATGCCGTTGGACAGCAGGTCCGCGGTGATCCGCTGTTTGAAGTAGACCTTCTCCTCCAGGGTCAGCGTGTCGGCCTTGGCGATGACAGGAACAATGTTCGCAACTTTGCTGAGGCGCTTCATAAACTCGATGTCCAGGGGCCTGAGGGAGTGGCCGGTGGCGGGGATAAAGTACAGGCAGCAGTGGACGCGCGTGTCCGGGATGCGCTTCTTCCGGTTGATGTTGACCTCCTCCTGCAGGTATTTCTCGTACCGGTCGTTGATGAACTTCATGATCGGCCGCCAGCAGTTCTCATTGTTGATGTGGTCCCCGAACCCTGGTGTGTCAATGACCGTCAGCTTCATGCGGACGCCCTTCTCTTCAATATCATGCGTGATGGACTTGATCTCAATGGTCTTGGGGATGCGTTCCTCCGAGGTGGGCTGCACCGACTTCTGGCTAATTTTGGACTTGAAGAGGGTGTTGATCAAGGTGGACTTCCCCAAGCCACTCTGCCCGACCACCATGATGTTGAACTCGAAGCCCTGCTTCATGGCCTTCCTGTGCATCTGCTCCAGGATGGAGTCAATCCCCACGTAGCCGAAGTCTGCGGGGGCCTTCTCGTTCCGGGGCGCGGGCGCCTGCTTCAGCCCAGCGTCTCTGGGGGTGTCGGCCATGTCGCCAATGCAGCCAAGAGCTGCATCAGGGGCCCAGCAGCTGAGTCGGGCTGCGCCGGCCGCGGGCAGAGAGCCCTCTGTGAACTTTTATACATTCCTTCTCTTCTGACATTACCCAGTCCTATACTCCCAGAGCTGATGACTCCACTTCATAAATTGCTCCCACCCTCCAAGTCCTCTATTTGGTGGGGGGTATACAGCTCTCTTCTTTTTTAAAGGCCATCTCTATCTCAGTAAAAGGTACCATTATCCCTCCATCTAAATACTGAAGCCAGAAATTCAAGTACAAGTCAACCTTGATTCCTCTCTCTTCCTCATTCTCATATCCATCTATCAGCCCCAAGCCTTGACATTTCTACCTCCAACATATTCTCAAATCCTGGTCATTCCATCTTCACTGCCACTACCTTAGTCTAAGTTACCAACCTGTGTTACTTGCCTGCAATGGCCTCTTAACTGGTCTGCTACTCACGTGCACTATTGCCCCTCTGATAAACTCTTCACCTAACAGCCAGAATGACATTTTAAAAATGTCATGTCTCTCCACTGCCTATAAAGGTTCACTGGCTTCCTGCTGCACTTAAAAGTCACCTTCTTCAACCTCACTTCATGCCCTTCCCCTGGCTCCCTGGGTCTCCACCCCAGCCTCCATTCAGTTCCCAGATAATACTAAACTCACTACTGCCACAGTGCCTTAGTACACACTCCCTGTATGGAGAATGCTCTTCCCAGCCTCCCCATTCTCGTTCTTTACACTAGATTTTTTCCCATTCTTTGGTTCTCAGCAAAATGTTCCTTTCTCAGATGACCTAACCACTCTAGCTAAAGTAAGTTAGCCCTCCTCTAACCTCATTCACCCTTACAACATTCTAATGTATTCAGGCATCTCAGCGCAATGTTATTTTATTCACATTTTTATTGTCTGTCTTCCCCTCACTAGGATAAGCTCTGTGAAGATAGGGACTGTTAATCTTGCTCACAAAGAGCAAGACCTAGCATAATGCCTGCCATTTGCTCAATAAAGGTTAATAAAGAAATGGAAGGGGAAAAAGGGAGAGAAGACAAGATCACTCCTTACTCCTTACCACCCAAGTGTAAGCCACCATCTCTCATCTACAATGCCACACAAGCCTGCCTACTGGTCAGTCTCCCTGCCTCTAAATTCCCCCTGCTATCGATACTCAACACAGCAGAGTGATCGTTTTAAAAGACTGGATCACTACTCTGCTTAAAACATGTTCACCATCTCAGAGTACAAGTCAAAGTCCTTACACTAGCTTCCAAGTCCCTACATGTGGCCTCATCCTGTTTCCTCTGACTTTAAATGTGCCCCACACCCCCACTCTGATCCAGCCACACTGGCCCGTTTACTGTTCTTTGTACAGGCTGGGGATACCGAGCTTCAGGAGTTTTGCCTTAGCCATTCCCTCTGCCTGCAAGGCTCTTCCCCCAGATATCCTCCTAGCTAACTCTTGCCCATTCCAAATCTTAGCTCAATAGTCACTTCCTCTATTAGGCCTATCCTAACCATTGTATTTAACAAACTACAGAAATGATCCCTCAAAGTATTTAAAATTGCAACCCCCACCGCCACATTGCTCCTTTCACCTTTTAACATGTCATATGGTCATTATGTTCTCTGTCTCCCTCCTCCAACCTCCACTAGAACGTTAGCTCCACGAGGGCAGAAATCTTTGTCTTATTCACTTATGTATCCCAAGCCCCTAGAACCTAGCAAATGTTTGGTAAATATTTGCTGAATCAACTGATGAGTAAAGAATTTCAGTGAACGCTTAGTTAAAATATACTTTTTAGTTCACAAGCACTTATCACATTCTGATCCTTATTGCACAGCAAACCACGGAGGAAATTACTGCCTGTCTATCCCTGGAAATGCTAATAAACTATTATTTTAGTATTTGGTAAAGGGATATGGCTCTGAAATTATTTTAGGCACAAGGTTTCTGGGCCCAGTTGATTTAACATTTTCTAGATACTTAATTTATGCCAGACACTGCAAGCTGCTGGGGTTACAAGGCTAAGTAAGACAAAGTCCTCCTCCTCAATAGGATCTTAGTTCATGAAGTGGGACAAGGACATAGACATTACAGTATGGTTCATGAGAGGTTAAGTACAAGTTTTCATTGGAACAAGAGAGGTGCCTAAGTTGGAGAGCTTAAGAAAAAGAGGATAAGGAAAGCTTGTTAGAAACATAACATTGAGGCCACATCTTGAAGGTGGACAGGTCAGAGAAAGGCATTGCAGCCTAAGGGAAAACAGCCTATTTCCGGAAGCCAGGAGAATGCCTGCCCTGTGTAAAATATAATGCTAGGAAAGAGTTAAGTTAAAGACATGTGGGTGGAGATGATGGTGAAAAGGTAGAGGTAGCTGGTCCTCAAGGGCTTTATGACTCACCAGAAGAAGTCTGGATTTTATCCAGTAGAGGAGGTAGCTTCTGAAGGATGTGAACAAGTGTATGACAATTACTTAATGTGGAGGAAAGATTGGAGAGGCAAAACTAGAGACGGACAGTCAGGGGTTGTTGCATGGGTCTGAGTGCCTGATCAAGAACAATGAAAAGAGAGATGGAGAGGGGTGGATTTAATAAGTATTTATTTATTCTATAAAATTATCCTGGCCATCAATCAGATGTAGAGGGTGAGAAAGAAAACTTAAGTTTTCCGGCTTAAGCAACTGAATAGATAATTCACAGATGATAATCCGAAGGCAGAAAAATTTACATAAGAAACAGAAGATTTAGGAAATCATAGCATTTTATTGAATTCAAGCAGCAGGGTGTTTAGAGTCAGAGGAGGGCAGAGGATGGAACCCTGGGGAAACATCAGGACTTAAGCGGGGGTGGGGGGGTGGGGGGGGAGGGTGGAGAGTGGGGCAGAAAAAGTATAATAGAGCCATGGTATTTGTCAACAGCCTGCTATCCAGATTTCCAGGCTCTGATCTACATAGAGGGGAGGTGCACCCAACAAGAGACAAACGGTGGGAAAATAGCTGCAGCACATGATTTCCAACAGCACCTGTAGAACACTACAGCAATGGAAGCCCTTCAGAAGTCAGCGTGTATGTCTCCTCTCATTGCTAAAATTCTGGCGCCTGAGCTCTCACGGAGCCTTGTGACACCTGCAGCGACAGGTAATGGGATGAAAACTGGCGATGTGGGAAAGGGATCCACAAAGTTTCACAAAATCATATACCACCCGTGGCTGCCCTTTTAAAGAAATGGGAAGAATTACCCAATGACCTTAGCTCTACACCTGTCCTCCGTTAGGCCACCATACTCAAAGACCACGCGGTTCTCCACCCTAAACCGTCCCAGATAAATTAACACAAGGAAATCACACAGGTTGAGGAGTCTGGCCCTCCACTCAGGTTCGGGTCCCCTCCCCTTGCCTCTCCTATCAAACACTTCCTTTCTCCCTTCCGGAAGCTCGAGGCCCCACCCACCTCCGCAACGCCGGGCCTTAGCCAATGGCCTGCTTCCCAAGGAACGTTACCTCTGACCTCAGGGCTAATCAGAGACAGTGAGACAAACTCCTCGCGAGAGGTGAGGTTGAAGCTGCCTCCGCCATCTTGGAGATGGGAGACGGGCGATGGCTGTGGTCCTTCTGCTAATGCAAACAACAAAACGGCCACAGTAGTCAACCCGAGTGAGCTTATCATCACTGTAACTGTTGACCAAAGCTACAGAAGAAGCGAGGGTGTCAAAGCCCAGCGCGGCGACATTGATAGCAGCTTCTCCTGCCTGCGGGAGCCGCAGAAGTGAAGTGACTGAAGACCGGAAGGATGGTGCAGTCCTGTTCCGCCTACGGCTGCAAGAACCGGTATGATAAGGATAAGCCCGTTTCTTTCCACAAGTAAGTACCTTGCGCGTCTCGCGGGGCTGGCCCCAGCTCGGGCTGGGGGCGCGCGGCCGGTTGGGCTCGGGGGCGGAGCCAGGCGCGTGTCCGCGCGATACCTAATGAGAGGGGCGGGGCAGGGGCGGAGGCAGGGGCGGGGCACGACCGGGCCCTACTCGCCGTCTCTCCGGCCGCGAGCGGTGGGCGTACCCGCCCCGGGTTGGAGCTCACGTTCCACCGCCCAGGGCTGCGCGTCCTCGGCGCGCGTCGCCGCGGTGACCGTTTCTCGCGCTCGAGGGTCGGAACCCGTGCGCGAGGTTCGCCCGCCGCCTCGGGTTGGAGTGTTCGCGACCCAGGAGCGATGTCCAGCTACCCCGCGCGGGTCGTGAGGTCCTCAAAGCCGAGAGGCATCTGGATCTCGCCCCTGGGGTAATAGAGAAACTAGGTGGTAATAACGCCTTAGAAGTAAATTTGAAATAGAGACAAAGAAAGACCTTTCAAATGACGAAGCCACACTTTTTCATCCTTGCTGTGGATGGGAGGCCAGCATCACAGTAATTAAAGATTGAGTTTTGGCCAGGATTTCAGGGAGGATGTTTTTACCCAGTTTCTAGGAACTAACCTTTAAGGAACTCCAAGTTTTAGAGAAAGCTTCTGGTACTACCAAAATGAATACTTAATATTTTCAGCGCACAGTAACGATAACGTGGACAATAATAATAACACCGGCCATAACCAAGTGTCATAATAGAAGTCAGTATGAACTATTACGGGCGCCTAGAGGAAGCCCTTAGAAAAGAACTTGCCCCACAGCTTTCAGGACTGTTATCCAGAAAGTGCTGCAGGTAGAGTAGTCCTGGAGGGAAAAATGTTCTCTTGAAAATGGGAAAAGAAAACTGCAAAATGGAAACGACTTAATGGAAAAATGGGAAAAGAAAACTGCAAAATGGAAACGATAATCGGATGTCTGCAAAATGTGACACGATGGCATTTTCATTCAGCCAAATAAAGTATTTACAAATTTTATTACATTTACATTAACTTGTTTTGTAAGAATTCCTGACAATAAGTAGATGATAGCTAAGAGATTAGATCCGTGGTAAATTATAGGAATTATTCGTAGGTAAATAAGTACAAAAGCAAAAATTAAATATTCCTTCAATTTTTTTGGTGCTGTCATTTGTGTTTAACAGGGGATGTAGATGCATTTTATGTTTGATATGAGAGGGACCCAAAAGAAATGAGTGCCTTACAACATAGATCTTGAGTGTTGATTGATGTACCACCAGCACCACCCCTACCTTCCACCTCGAGGACAAGAGAGAACACTTAATACTTCCAGGATCTACTTCAGGATATCCTGATATTACTTCTTCATTTATTGGAATTTCTGAAAGCTGGTGAATTGACTTCCAGTTCTTTGAAAGTGTAGGAATAGATCAGAAGATGGTAGCACGGTTACATACAGTCAGCTACAGTCAGCTCCCCACAACCCTATTTCTTTTTTTTTAAGATTTTATTTATTTATTTGAGAGACAGAAAGAGAGAGAGAACACATGAGAGGGGGGAAGGTCAGAGGGAGAAGCAGACTCCCCGCCGAGCAGGGAGCCCGATGCGGGATTCGATCCTGGGGCTCCAGGATCATGACCTGAGCTGAAGGCAGTCGCCCAACCAACTGAGCCACCCAGGCGCCCCCCACAACCCTATTTCTAATGATATCTCAGAAAGAATCTAAAAATGTGGAAAACCTTTCATTGGTACTGGAAACTAAGGGTGGCATTCACACATCAGAAGTAGTTTCTGCTGGCTGTGAAACGACTGAATCAAAGGAAGAGCTGATCTGCCTCTCATTCTTACCTATAAAGAACAGTTTTTTGGGACTAGATGGGAAATATCTTGACGAAACTCCATAAACAGCCTGAGCATTGTAGTGCTTGAGACAGGAGTGCAAGGTGCTGAATTTTGTATTTCTGGAGGCCATTTCCAGCAGGGATCTTCTAGGGGTACTTTTACCAGTTTCTACATGGTGGCCCTGTAGCAGCAGCTATTCTGGGCAAAGAAAAGAACTGTCCCAAAGATTGGTTAATTCTTCATGATAGCAGACTCAGGCTGTAGCATGCCTTACGTGGAAGAGAAACTGGAACATAGAGTTGAAACATCCTTTGGCTTCTTTCTAGTCTCCCCAATTCACTAAATATTTGACCTGGAAGAGTAAAATCACAGTAAATTTAAACTCTTCCCAAGCCCCCTTATCTGGGCCTGATGGACATATTCCAGTTGATTTCGAGGTAAATTAAGATAAATAATATTCTTATCTGGAATTAAAAACAAATTGGAAGACTAAAATAAATAAATAAAAATTTTAAAAATTAAAAAATAAATAAGAACTTCCCAAACCTGGGGAGACTTGGACATCCAAGTTCATGAAACTAATAGACCACTGCCTTTCAATTCCAAACAATCTTCTCCAAACATATAAACAAACAAATGAATGAAATTTTAAATTTATCATTATGATTTGACTATAATTTGATTAATTCATATTTGTCAGACTGATCCTAAGAGAACTAGAACCTTCTTTTTTGCAGTATGTGGATATAAACATGCACTTTTGTTTTCATTGGTAAAAAAAAAAGATCAATATAGATTCACCCAATAGTATGTATTTTACTTGAAACTCTTAGTGTCTTTGACATAAAAAGTTAAACATTAATAAATGAGATAGAGGAGATACACCATTTACTCTTGTATATTTAGATGTGTATGCAATACCTGTATCACTTAGTGGAAGTTATTGTAATAGAGGAAGACAAGCAATATTACTGCATATGTCCCTTGACTTTCCACCTCCCATCATACCCTCTTCCCACTGCATGCATCTGTCTGCATGGCTGACTTTTAATATATATATTTTTACATTTTGTAAATTTTTAATCAGCCTGTGTTGTTTAAATTGTATATATCATCGTATCTGACATTCTTGTAACTACTCTGTGATAAAAAGATTCCTATAATAAATACTGCTTTTTATTTTTTAAAATTGTTATTTAAATTCTAATTAACATACAGTGCAGTATTGGTTTCAGGAGTAAAATTCAGTGATTCATCCCTTACATACAACACCCCCAAATACTGCTTTTAAAAAAAACAAAAATTCCATGCTGAGAGGGCTGACTTACGTCACACACTAGTGGGTGGTCACTTTATTTAAAGATCTTTAAAGCAATTACATTCTTAACTGAGGTGAATAAAGGCACAACTAAAAACTGTCAAAAAAAAAAAAAAGCAGAGCTAGTGTTTTAATCAAATGTCCCTTAGCTTGTTCACATCAATATAAGATAGTTCTTTCCTAATCAGGAAAGTCTGGATGTGCTTTTTTTTTTCCTTTTAAAAGAAGGTCAGAGAACTGAATTATCTCTTCTTCTTAGGTTTCCTCTTACTCGACCCAGTCTTTGCAAAAAATGGGAGGCAGCTGTCCGAAGGAAAAACTTTAAGCCCACGAAGTACAGCAGTATCTGTTCGGAGCACTTTACTCCTGACTGCTTTAAGAGGGAGTGTAACAACAAGTTGCTGAAAGAGAATGCTGTACCCACGATATTTCTCTGTACCGAGCCGCATGACAAGGTAACGGGTGTTTTAAAATACTGGGCTTTCTATTTATAAAATTAATGTTTTTATTGTGGAAAATTCAGAGTAATGTTAAGAAAATAAATGTTAGAGGACGCCTGGGTGGCTCAGTCGTTAAGCGTCTGCCTTCGGCTCAGGTCGTAATCTCAGGGTCCTGGGATCAAGCCCCGCATTGGGCTCCCTGCTCAGTGCGAAGCCTGCTTCTCCCTCTCCCACTCCCCCTGCTGTGTTCCCTTGTGTTTGCTCTTTCACTGTGTCTCTCTGTCAAATAAATAAATAAAATCTTTAAAAAAAAAAAAAGAAAAGAAAAGAAAAAAATGTTACCTGGAAGCCATCACTTATAGATAACCACTGTTAATGATATACTTTTTTTTTTTAAGATTTGATTTATTTATTTGACAGAGAGAAGGACAGCGAGAGAGGGAACACAAGCAGGGGGAGTGGGAGAGGGAGAAGCAGGCTTCCCGCTGAGCAGGGAGCCCGATGTGGGGCTCGATCCCAGGACCCTGGGATCATGACCTGAGCTGAAGGCAGATGCTTAACGACTGAGCCACCCAGGCGCCCCAACAATGATATACTTTTTAAAAATACAAAGTGCAGTTTATTAAAGTTAAGCATCTTCACACTAAGAAAGGCGATCTAGCTTTGTGACTTAACTTTAGTCACTCTCTACCCCTACACGTATGTTAATAAGTTTTGGGTTTTCTTTATCAGGGACCATTCAGTTTCAAAGTATTTACCCCTCAGTTTTAAGTGCTTAGTATTTAATTAAATCTTATCAGTCATTCTCTCTCTTGCATCCCATTTCTACTTTAGGTGGAAAAGTATAATTAAAACTTAAATTGTTTTCTCATTTTAGAATGTTCCTGTTTCAAGGATTCACCAAAAAAGTCTAGTGTTCTTTCTTTTTAATCAAGTGTAGCTGACACATGGTAATGTTACATTAGTTTCAGGTGTACGACACACTCATTAGACAAATCTGCACGTTACGCTGTGCTCACCACCACTGTGGCTCCCACCGGTCACCGTATAAGGAGGGCTGTTAGAACACCGCTGACCACATTCCCTGTGCTGTACCTTTCATCTCTGTGTCTTGTTCATTCCATAACTGGAAGCCTGCACCTCCCTCTGCCCATTTTTTCCATCCTCCCGTCCTCTCCCCTCAGGCAGCCATCACTTGTTCTCTATATTTATGGGTCTGTTTCTGCTTTTTTATTTGCTTTTTTTTTTCAGTTGTTTTGTTTTTTAGATTTCACATATAAGTGGAATCACATGGTATTTGTCTTTCTCTGACTTTTTTGAGAGCATGATACCCTCTAGGTCCATGCATGTTGTCGCAAAATGGCAAAATCTCATTCTTTTTTATAGCTGAGTAATATTCTATTGTGTGTGTGTGTGTGTACATATATATGTATACCCTCCACACACACACACACACACAACATCTCTATCCATTCATCTGTGGATGGACACTTGGGTTGCTTTCATATCTGGGCTATTGTAAATAATGCTGCAGTAAATATAGGGGTGCAGATATCTTTTCGAATTAGTGTTTTCATTTTCTTTGGGTAAATACCCAGTAGTGGAATTACTGGATCATATGGTAATTCTATTTTTAAGTTTTTGAGAAACCTCCATACTGGTTTCCACAGTCACTGCACCAATTTGCATTCTCACCAATGGTGCATGAGGGTTCTCTTTTCTCCATATCCTCGCCAACACTTGTTATTTCTTGTCTTTTTGATACTAATCACTATGACAGATATAAGGTGATAACTCATTGTGGTTTTGATTTTCATTTCCCTGATGATTATTGATGTTGAGCATCTTTTCATGTGTTTGTTGGCCATGTGTATGTCTTTGGCCATGAAAATGTCTGTTTGTGTCCTCTGCCCATTTTTTAACGGATTATTTATTTCTTTGATATAGTGTTGAATAAGTTCTGTATATATTTTGGTTATTAACTCCTTATCAGATATATGTTTTGCAGATATATTTTTGCATTCACTAGGTTGTCTGTGGTTTTTTTTATTATTATTATTTATTTGTCAGAATGAGAGAGAAAGAGAGAAAGCACAAGCAGGGGGAGTGACAGGCCGAGCAAGAAGCAGGCTCCCTGCTGAGCAAGGAGCCCAATTCAGAACTTGATCCCAGGACTCTGGGATCGTGACCTGAGCCAAAGGCAGACACTTAACTGAGTGAGCCACCCAGGCGTCTCACATGTTATTTTTTTTATTTTTATTTTGTTTTATTTTTTTAAAGATTTATTTATTTTAGAGAGAGCGTGCATGGGGTAAGGGCAGAGGGAGAGAGAGTATCTCAGGTAGACTCCCTGCTGAGCACAGAGCCCACACAGGACTTAATTTCACAACCCTGAGATCATGACCTGAGCCAAAATCAAGAATGGGGCGCTTATCTGACTGAGCCACCCAGGCACCCCACACTAGATTTCATTTTAGTTTTGTTGGTTTTCTGCCCTGTGCAAAAGTTTTTTATTTTGGTGTAGTCACAATTGTTTATTTTGCTTTTGTTTTCCTTACCTGAGGAGACAGGTCTAGAAAAATGTTGCTAAGGCTGATGTCAAAGAAATTACTGCCTGTGTTTTGTTCTAGGAATTTTATGGTTTCAGGTTTCACATTTAAGTCTTTAATCCATTTTGAATTTAGTTTTGTGTATGGTGTATAAAAGCGGTCCAGTTTCATTCTTTTTCATGTAACTGTAGTTTCTCCAGCACCATTTATTGAAGAGTCTGTTTTTTCCCTGTTAAATATTCTTGCCTCCTTTGTTGTAGATTAATTAACCATGTAAGCATGGGTTTATTTCTGAGCTCTCTGTTCTGTTCCATTGATCTATATTTCTGTTTTTGTGCCAGTTTTGATTCTGCAGCTTTGTAGTGTATCTTGAAAACTGCGATTGTGGTATCTCCAGCTTTGTTCTTCTTTGTCGAGTGTGCTTTGGCTATTTGGGGTCTCTTGTTCCATACAGATTTTAAGACTACTTTTTCTAGTTCTTTGAAAAATGCTGTTGGTATTTTCATAGGGATTGCATTGAGTCTGTAGATTGCTTTGGGTAGTAGGGACATTTTAACAATGTTAATTCTTTCAATCCATGAGAATGGTATATATCTTTTCATTTATTTGTGTCATCTTCAATTTGTTTCATCAGTGTTCTATAGTTTTCAGAGTATAGGTCTTTCACCTCAGTTAAATTTATTCCTAGGTGTTTCATTCTTTTTGGTGCAATTATAAATGGAATTGTTTTCTTAATTTCTCTTTCTGCTACTTCATTTTTAGTGCATAGAAACACAACTGATTTCTGTATATTAATTTTGTATCCTACAACTTCACTGGATTCACTTATTACCTCTGATAATTTTCCGTTGCAGTCTTTAGGGTTGTCTATATATAGTGTCATGTCATCTACAAATTAGTGACAGTTTTACTTCTTCCTTACCAATTTGGATGCCTTTTATTTATTTTTCTTGTCTGATTGCTGTGGCTAGGACTTCCCAGTACTATGTTGAATGAAAGTGGTAAGAGTAGACATCTTGTCTTGTTTCTGATCTTAGAGCAGAAGCTCTCAGGTTTTCACCACTGAATGGATGTTAGCTGTGGATTTTTCATATATGGCCTTTCTTCTTTTGAGGTATGTTCCCTCTAAGCCAACTTTGTTGAGACTTTTTATCATGAATGGATGTTGAATTTTGTCAGATGCTTTTTCCGCATTTACTGAGATGATCATATGGTTTTATCCTTTGTTTTGTTAATGTAGTGCTTCACATTGATTTACAAATATTGAGCCATCCTTGCACACCTGGAATAAATCCCACTTGATTGTGGTAAATGATTCTTTGAATGTATTGTTGAATATGCTCATATTTATTTTTGCATCTATGTTCAACAGGGATATTGGCCTGTAGTTTTTGTTGTTGTTGTTGTAGTGTCTTTGTTTTTGATATCAGGGTAATGCTGGCCTCACAGAAGTATTTGGAAGTCCTTTCTCTTCTATTTTTTGGAATATTTTGAGGAGAATATGTATTAACTGTTTAAATATTTGGTAGCATTTACCATCTGGTCCTGGACTTTTGTCTTTTGGGAGCTTTTTGATTGCCTTTTCAATTTCATCACTAGCAATTGGTCTATGCATATTTTCTATTCCTTCCTGATTCGTTCTTGGATGATTGTATGTTTCTGGAAATTTAACCATTTCTTCTAGGTTGTCCAATTTGTAAAAATGTCATTCTTAAATTCCACAGGTGGATTCTTTTGAACTGTTATTTGTAGTTACTAAACTTGAACATACTCTGCATTATTGTTGTAGAAGGAAGATCTTCTGGAGCCACAAGAACAGCTTCCCCCGCCTCCTTTAACACCTCCCATTTCCCAGGTCGACGCTGCTATTGGATTACTAATGCCTCCTCTTCAGACCCCTGATAATCTCTCTGTTTTCTGTGACCACAACTATACTGTGGAGGATACAATGCACCAGAGAAAAAGGATTCATCAGCTAGAACAACAAGTTGAAAAACTCCGAAAGAAGCTCAAGACTGCACAGCAGCGGTGCAGAAGACAAGAACGACAGCTTGAAAAATTAAAGGAGGTTGTTCACTTCCAGAAAGAGAAGGATGACATATCAGAGAGAGGTTACGTGATTTTGCCGAATGACTACTTTGAAATAGTTGAAGTGCCAGCATAAAAAAATGATGTTTGTATTGGTTTTTAATGGGGCAACACCACACACCCTCTTCTAGCCTATAAAGGAGTTTCATTTGAAAAAATAACAATTGATTACTTGTATAAAAACAATTCAGAATATTTTTTTAAAAAAATAAATTAGATATATACTATAAAATTGTAAGTTTTTTGTTTGTAATTTCAGGGTTTTTACATTTTAACAAAATATCTTAAAAGTTATAAACTAACCTCAGAACTCCAATATAAGTTGGTTTCAAATTGAGGAGTTTTGTTTTTTGGGTATTTATAGAAATGTAAAAATGAAAAGTGTGAAGTGAATGTGAACAGTATAGCAAGGACAATTTAAGTTTAAAATTTAAAATTAATGCAGGTTCTTCAAAGAATTTAGTTACATTGTAAGTCAGAGTATAGTCAGATCACAAGATGTAACTTCTCAGAATATATATATTCTTATTCGTAAAGTCAGAGGATTTATCTTTCTTAATCACTTGTCAAAGATAAATTGACAAGTCAATACTTAAAAAAATAAATTGGTTGTCTTCAGAGCAGAAAATGAAGGGTCATTCTATACCTAGTCAATACGAGTAAATAAGTATGAATTTTTAAAAGTGGGTCCATCTTTTTTTTCCCCACTGTCTAGCATTATTAAATTAGAAGCATATCTCCCGTGGAAGAGACATTCTTCAATAAAGTAGGCGTTGTTATTAATAAAGTAATAAAAATGGGGGGCCTGATCCACAGTATGCCTTTTCTTTCATTATCCCCACCCTTAAGGAGCATCTAGTTCCCAACTGTATCCAAATCTCTGACAAATGTGTTGTGTCAGCAGAGTTTGATTTGTACCATAATATGACCAATTGATTTTGGTTACATCTTCACATAAAAAAGGATTTCTTCACTTTTAACACAAGTTAGAAATTATATCGCATTTACTTAATTGAGTGATTTGTATTCCAGAGCAACCTAATACATAGTGTTTATGTCACTGAATGTTGAAATTTAAACACTGAAGTTTCTATTCAAACTATGAGATGTATTCCGACTTTGTGAGAACTTTTAGTTACATATTTGAAATGAAAATATGTTCTGAGTAAACAAATACTGCCTTAGGAATTACCTACTTAGATTTAGACTAATTGTTCCAATTACGATTATTTTACATTTCAAAGTACACTGAGATAGTTGAAGAGTAACAGGCCTTTTAAGGCAGTATTAAAAATATGAAACAGTGACATTCAAAAGTGTCTTTTGTCGAGTGGTTTTCAATGTAATTTACTGCTGTGCTACCAGTGGATAATACCTTGATTTTTTATGAACCAGTATTTTAAAAATAGAAAATTATAATCAGAAGATTACTTGAAGTTATATGGTCTGATAACATATAGAACTAACTCTAATGAATCAGAAGATGTTTTCTAGTTACTCATGGATCTCATCACTGTTTTGGAAACCCACAAGTAGTTTGGTTTTATATTTCATCTGTCTAGCAATTCCTGGAGGATATATGAGTAAACATCTTGCAAAGCATATATCTTATTGTCATCTACATAAAAGGAAACCTGTGTGTGTTTGTGTGTATGTGTCCCCAAAACCAAGAATCCAACATTGAATTGTAAAAGTGGCAATCCTAATTACTTAGCATCTTAACATTATGATTTAACCTGAAGTTTCTTTTCATAACAAACATAAATCTCTATTTGGAGAGAACTGAGCAAGCAGCATGTATACCAGCTTTTTGCATTTAAATAAATATCATAGTTTAACATAGGGAGTTTGAGGTACAGGTGGTTCTTTCTGAATATGAGATGTAATATTTCGTGAATGTTTTAAAAATTCATTTTGGCTACTGTATTGTTTTTTACATTGCCAGGTGAAGGAAATAGGTCCTATTCAAACATGATGAAACTCATTCTGAAACAAATGGACACAGTCTTGATCTGGAACAAATCGGGGGAAGACTCATGTGAACTGCAGCATATTCTGAAAGATGACATTTATTTTAAGCATACAGTAACATACTAAAATTTCCATTTATGTGTGATGATGTAATCTGGCAATAATGGTGAGAAGAAATAACTTTCTTAATAAAACTGTTAGGAAAACTATGAAATCATAGAATTTTAGAATTAGAAGGGACTTACAAATGACTGAACACTAGCCTAACCTCCAAACCCTGCAGAAATCTGTTTGTAAAATATCTGTGACAAGTGGTCATCTGTTCTCTGATTACTGTTTACATTTAAGCAGTTATTCTTCTCAGATTCTTTAAAATGGGTTTCTGGATTAGGATAGAATTAATTGCCATTCTTTTTATACTTCGGTTGTAGTGGAAATATAAACTTCACTTTGAACTGCTGCATAGTTTGAACCGTCAAATTCTGAGTTAAAGAAGTTTTAAAATTTTGTAAAATAATTTAAATGTTTAGTAACTGTATATCTGTTATGTGAACTAAAAATAATTGTCATTGCAGTAAAGAAATTGTGTTTTAAAATTATTGGCAAAACTTTTTACTTGGAAGTCCAAGTACATGAGATCTTTTTTTTCTCTTAACTATAATTTGTGTAATCCCTTTCTTAGAAGTGTGACAGAAATGGTGAAAGCAAATGAAAGTTTCCCTTGATATGGATTTTTTTTGGTTCAATTAATATTCTCTGATCATCTCTAGCTCTTAAAAATATTATACATACATACTCAACACCTATGGCTTTTATAAAGTCAGGAGTAAGCAGCATAGGACAATATACTTAAAAGTCCATATGATCTGTAAAAAGAAAACTCCCATTTATGTTCCAGAATTTTTAAAAGACAGCCATCCATGAATAGCATTTAAAGGAAAAAGAGAGCAGATTTACAAATCTGCTTGATTATTACTCTTCCTGATAATTGGCAACCATGTGAATTGGATAACCAATAAATGAAGAGCATTGCTCTTGTGATGGTAACTGGTGTTTCTGGGCATTATGATTTTATATATTGTGTATTAAAATACAGTCCTCAATGTGAAAGAAAAATATCAAAAAGCAAACAGTGATTTACAAACAAGCAAAAAAGCAGTTATAATTACTGTACTTAAAATAATGGAAAAGTTTGCTCTTACAATTCCATGTCTTGATATCTTTTTTACCTTGGATGTTGTTTTATTCTATTGAGATTTTTTTCTGAATGATAAATATTTTTTAAACTCAAAAAAATCTTTGAGAATTTTTATTCTTTTCTAAATTCATAGTATTTGGGGTTTTGAGATTATCAAAATTTCATTTTTAAAATCTCCTAAGGTATTTGAATAAACGTCCTTTGTTTTAAACTGTTTTTGGTGAAACAAATTGTACAATATTAGCAACAAATAGACAAATGACTTCTGGAATGGCTACATGTTCACCCTAACTATCATGATGGGTTAAAAAAAATTTTTTTTAAACAACGATTTAAGGTCTCTGCATACTGTCTTAAGGTCATACAGAAAATGAAGAAACATTCAAGAAAATCTACATCTCTAAAAGAACATTAAGAGCATGGTGACATATACACCACAACTTATTCTTGCCTTAAACCACCACCACCACTGCCACCCCCCACACACAGCTCAGTGCTATAGAAACTCCATTGTGAGTGGATATGGCCAAGAAGACTGCTCACTGTCCTCCCAGTATCCACTCAAGTCCTGTGGTATCTCCCAAGGAGGGGTAGGCAGCCAGTATTTCTCATACCCCGCCCCTAGATTTGTGTTGCAAAGGCTAATCTGCAGGCAAGTGCAGCCAAAAGGTCAGGACTTCCTCCACCCAGCTCCCACTCAGGTTGGAGGCTTTACCCCCGGTGCAGCAGGCCAAGAGTATCAGGACTTTGATCACCCTCTTCCTAGATGCTCATAGGGTGAAGTTTCCATGCCAGGAGAGTCAAGCCAAGAAGACCAGAAGCTACCATCCCAATTGAGTTCTGATCATAAAGTAGACATATCAACCCTAGAGAAGCAGATCATGGCCCGACCACTCGTAGCTACAGAGGAGTGACATAGATTTCTTTCCCCCAGGGGAGAGGAAGCCATAAGAACAGAGAACTCTGAAGCTCTCCCCAAAGGAACTAATTTTGTCTGGAAGAGTGTGGGGAAGTTCAGGACTAAGGAACTCTCAAGGACAATGGAAAATTTCAGGGTAAAAAATTAAAAGGAGGCTGGTAGCTCCACCAGAGTAATAAACTAAGTTATTTTTAGGCTAGGTAATTTAACCAGAGAGAACAGGGAAAGAGGTAAAAAGAGACCTCCTGGGGTCATAACCAGCCTCAAAGTCTAGCCTCAAAAACTTGTGCAAAAAGGCCCAGATCTAATTGGATCAGACTACATAGCATTTTAGGCCCTAGGACATCATCAAAACAAAGAGCAATCCATTGGCATGGAGCTAATGTCTGAGTTTGACACCAGCAAAGGCAGATAGTTTAACAAAGAGATCAGGAAAATAGAGAAAGGCCTGTTAGAAGCTCTTATCACCCCAGGTGACTATGTGCATGCCCAAGGCTGCACCTTCTAAGAAATGAAATCAGAGACTTCATTCACCCTGAAGGGGAAATTAACTTCACTAAATTAGTCAAGTAATTAAATAAAACAATCACAACAAGCCTGGAACAGGGGTGGGTGGAATCAGTGTCCAAAGATCCTACAATATATATAATCTAAAATGTCCAGTTTTTAACAAAAAGTTATGAGATATGCAAAGAAATAGGATAGTGTAACTCATATGGGGTGGGGGGGAGATGGGGAGGAGCAAGCAACAGAAAGTGAAAGGGCCAGATGTCAGAATTAACAAAGACTTAAAAGCAGCCATTATAAATAAGCTAAATAAATATTAGTTCCAAAGAACTAATGGAAAGCATGCTTAAAGAAGTAAAGGAAGGAATGATGACAATATCTCATCAAAAAGAAAGTATCAAGGAGGTAAAAATTTTTAAAAAGGATATTCTGGAGGTATAAAGTACAATAATTAAAATTCACTAAAAATTAACTACAGAAGCTCACAGTTATTTGAACTTGCAGAAGAAATATCAGTGAACTTTAAGATAAATCATCCAATCTGAAAAACAGAGAACAAAGAATGAAGAAAATGAACAGAGCCTCAAAGAAACATAGTACCTCTAAACATATCAATATATGCATAATGGAATTACCAGAAGGAAGGGTAGAATAGAAATGATGGGGAGAGGGAGAGGAGCAGAAAAATATTTGGAGAAGGGTGCCTGACTGGCTCTTGATCTTGGGGTTTTGAGTTCAAGCCCCACCTTTGGTATAGAGATTACTAAAAAAATAAACTTAAAATATTTGAAGAAATAATGAGTGAAAA